CTAGTACCTTTTGGCATATTGTTTTTTAACTGGAGCTATCACTTTTTGTCACTGTTTCTCAAAGTCTGCATGAATCCCTAAATACTCTTGTATTGCTGAAAAGCATCTTCTACTAATTATCAATAAAAGAAATTGATTAAAGAATCGGAGTGGCAGAAATGTAAACCTCTTTGATAAATAGTTCCTATTTTTGTATAACAACATTCATTTAGGGTATTACACAATACTTCTAGAGAGCCTGAGCCATTGCAGTCAAGTTACTGATGGCATTATGTAGCATTGAGAAGCGGAGAAACAATACTTTGGATTTTCATCTGTCAAGATAAAAATAAATGTTAGATGTCTTTTCTCTTAATTCTCAAAATCACTGATGAAACAGTGAAATACCTATCATATACCTACCTATCAATACCTACCTAGGAAGTCTACATCTGAAGTATTGAAGAAAGGCTTGCTGCGGGACAGAATGAGAATAGTGCCATGAAAGGCATGTAAATACATTGAAGGTATTCTTGTGATGTCATTTTTGTAATAAAAATATAGATTATAAAGGAACAACCTGCAGAATAAAGACATGTGATTAATATTAAAAACAACTGTGTGATTTAGAGCATTCACAGAATGTATGAAATGCTCACAGAGTGAACAATTTCTCCCTGAGTACCTACTGATTTTATTAAGGAAAATATATGTGTAAAGATGATTGAAAGAAAATTCTTGTTTCTCATTTTATCTCGTTTGTCCTTCACAAGTTGCTATTTGTTTCAGTGTTCCCAGATTTATTTGAGCGACTGGATGCATCAGAGAAAATCTGCACAAAGTTTTCACACATTTAGTTGCTATTTCTTTATTTTTCCAGTGAGTGCTTTTTGGCCTCCTCTTTTGGGGTATTAGAAATTAAGTATCTTCTGCAGGATCTATCCCCTGGTCACATATTAATGAGCAGCTAAACAAGATCGCATTATATGTCCTAGTAAATGTGTGTATGTGTGGGAATTCTGCTTCTCTTTATACACTCAGTCATATTCATGTGTACAGTATGGATGTGTCTGTAATACCAGTATCCTCACTGGATACTGTTAAAGTGGAGGTGGTGAAACACGGTGGAGTGATAGTGGCTGAAAAGGTTCTTTCACTGCTTGTAAAGAGGGAGAGGAGGGGAAAGGAGCCCCAAATTCAGGGTACTCTAGATGAGGGGGTTGGATCTTGCTTTGCATTTAATCCTACTCAGTCCTAATCCTTCCCTTGTTTTAAGCAAGAGCAATGTTCCCAGGAATGTAGATTGGAAAACTTAGTATTTTTTAAGGATATCTAGAAAATAGTATACTTGAGTGCGGAAAGTGAAAAAAGAGTATCATTTTTTTCTAATTAAACAGATATTAAGTTCACAGAGAATGTTTAAAAAAACCCGTTGAATGTAGATTCTTTCTACAGCCAATTTAGGTGTTAAATTGATGATTTTTATTTTGCAGTGTGATAATAATTGCTAATAATGTCGGGCAATTATATTTTGATGTGAGCTCACATAATTATGGTGCCTTAATTAAATGTTTGGAAATAAGGGAGGCTGTTTGAGCAGAGTACAGTGTCTGTAACTTGAAATGTTCTTCATGAGATTCATATAGGAGTCGATTTCAGCAAAGTCCAAATGCTGTCCTCCTATTTGCATAATTCTACTTTCATCATTTTCCAGTGTAGAATGATAGCGTGAAGTTCCAGCGCCTTTTTGCCTTTGCAGCTTTTCTGGTGATTTTATTTTAGCTGTATAGTTTTTACTTCTCAGTCATGAATTTAGTCTGTGTGAAGGCCAAGAGGTGGAAGCCCTCTATTATTCCAGCAGTATATAGGACTCTGCACTGCTGTATCAGGAAATCTCAAGTAACAGTTTTATGATGTATGAGGATATTATTCTCTGCAAGTAATAACAAGCACTTCTATTTCCTCAGCAATATCCACATAATCAAACATTCGCAAGTGCTTTACAAAGAATTTAATTAAATAGTGTGCAGAGTAACTGGATGCAGCATGCACACCAGCTATTATATATTCAGCCTTTCACATTGGTGCGGTTAGTGCCGAATGCTTTGGAGCGGTGCAATGTATGAATGATATTTCTATGAAAACATGCATCATTGCCCCTCCTTTTGTACCTTGCATCTTAAAATACACTCTCTGACCTTAATGGATGTCAGCTCCAGGAGCACAGATTCCCTCCTCAATGCTCTAGAGGTGTGAAAGGAAGAGGGAAGTGCAAATCATTCCATTGAGCCTGGAATCTGAAACATTGTGCCTTGGAAATCAAACATTTACGGCACCGTAGATAAAGATACAGATTCATGTGCCTTTCACTACAAGCAACTGGACGTGTTTGGAATTTTGTTTCAAGGTATTGGAAATTTGGGGAGAAAAAACAATTCCCACGCCCTGTGACTGGTGACACAGGAGGAGAAAAAGATTTCTCATTTTGCAATAATTCATACATTCAGGCAAAGTTCCCCCTGCCAGTCCCTGAGGTAAAGCAATGCGCAGTGCCCCTGACCCCCAGTTAGGAGAAGCTGAGAGCTGGTACGTAGTGTGCTTCTCGACTCATTCAGCACTTTGTTGGTGTGTTCATGGCTCCTATAGGGATTAACATTCTGGAAACCAACAGGGTTATCTATTGCTTTCTGTTTGTCAGTACAGAAAAGCACTTTAAGCATTAGCCTATGCATGAGAGCAGCTGCAAGGCTTGCAGAGCAAAGGGGCTGTGTTGAAGAAGATTTCTCTGCTGTTATCTGCTTCCAATGCATTGAGCTTTCCATCAGATTGGAAGTTTTTATTGGTAGGTGAGGTGTATAGAGTATCCATCCAAGTCAGCAGACCAATATCAATGAAGTAAATAGTGAGAGGCAGCCTGTAATTAGCCTATAAAGGTGTTCAGCTGCTTGGGGAGGAGAAACTCCCTTCCTCACTGTTGAGGGACTTCACTCCATTTTGCTGGTTCCCCCAGGTTATTCCAATTTGTTACTGACTGACACTAACAAAAGGTAGCCATTATGATGGATGAGAGAGACCAAAAGCTGCAAATAAACCTGAAGGAGAGGAATTAATAATAAAGAGTTCAGTTAAAAGTATGGATTTTTTTTAAATAGTTATTTTTATTCCAGTGTTGCTCTGCTTATTTGAGGGGAATGGCTGAAAACTTAATCAGTGTAAATTAAGGATAGAATCAGTCTCTCTATTCTTTTGAAGATTCTTTTGGAGGAAAGCTTAATTGCTGTAGGAGAAGTTATAGCCTTCTCTGTAGAGTTGATAGTGAGAAATCCCAGATTCAAGTTAATGAAGACTTGCTATTAATTTCAGAGATTTTACCCCATTGTCTTTGTTGTCTCCCTCCCACTGCTTCCCCTCTTTTAAAAAAATTCTTATTCCTTCTTTATACAACTGCAGTTTTTTTTTTATTATTTTGCCTGTCAGTTATAACAAACTGCAGTTACTCCGGTTTCAAGCTCCGACTAAAGAATAAAAGTGAAGCATCTAACTTTGAATTTACTGGCATGCCTACTATTGAACTGCATGGTTTTGATTTTTACTTATTCTGTTTTGATTTTTTATTTAATTAGTTTATTTTTCCATTGTCTGGCATTATAAAAATAATTATTTGGTACCTTTTGTAAAATGTCTTTGCCATTTGGATGCTTTCAGTTAGCTTGTATTTGCAAATGGTTACTAGGCTCTCTTCGTGCTCTTACTTGAATTTTATAATGGTTTTGCTTCTTGGAGCAGGCGTTTCTTGGGACAGCTGACATATATCCAGGTTCTCCATTCCTAATATTTTGGTGGTAACTTCCTGTGAATCCCTGTGAATCTCCTGCTGTTGGTTGTTCTCTAACCCAGCTCCACTACATGTATCAACAAGCTAAAGCAGATGAACTAAGAAATGTCTGTGCTCTAATAGAATTCCTATATATAAATAGATAAGATTTTTTCTTTCTCAGATTAAGTAGTCAACCTAGAGACTGTTTATCTCACACAGTGAAGCACCAGCTAGACATGCCAGTGTTAATTGCAAATGTATTAGCTTTGGAACCAGAAATTATTTAGCAAAGAATGGAGTATGACAGTTTGGCTCATAAATTAAGAGGCCAGGCTAATATTAAACTGGAGCGCCATGCTGATATGTTGTTGAATCATCTTGTTGAACCTCATGCCACTGAGAGGAATTCCCAACTGCTCTTTTTTATATGCTGAGAGACCTTCCTTGCTTTTTTTCTAGCATTGTTAGCTACTGCAAACTGGAGTAACATTCCTGGAGCTGAATCCAACACCGTTGTTCCAGCCTGTAGAGCCAAGAGGTGGCTCCGGCAGTCTTGTCCTCAGCGGATTCATGCTAGTAATATTGCACACTGAAAGATACCTTCTTTTGTAAAAAATAGTGTTTCCAAAATCTGAGCAACTTGACAACTTTTTAGTCATTTTGAAGCACTGTGTTTCTATGTTTCCCTTAGTGTTAATCCTTATATATAGTTTGTAAGGACACTTACACGGAGGAGTCACTTCAATGCACAGATAAAAAAAAACACTTTTGACAAAAGTCTTGTGTTACTGCATTGATTAAGGTAAATTAAACGTGAGAAATAGTATCAAACCCAGAAATAACTGAACAACAAGGTATTTTAAAACAACCTGCGTTCTATATAGAAAACTTCTTCAGTTAGAGTAAATGCACAGTTTTACAGCAGCAGGGTGGTAGCCATGAAATACATGTGAACAAACGGAGATGTAAGAACATAAATGGCTATTTTATTGATGATTTCTAGGTATTATAGTAATTTCAGCTAGCATTTATTCTATATACTATTTATTCTAGTAATTTCAGCTAGAGAGCTGAAATTTACAGTTTTTAAACATTTTTAGTATTTCAAATACCTTTAATGATGGCTTATGACTTTTACTTACAAGTAGCTCTTCAGCACAGTAGTTACCACAAGCAGTTAACATATATTTTGTTCTGTTTCTAGATCTGTTAGCTGTGCCTAAGCATCCGTATGCTGCTATGGAGAACTGGGGACTGAGTGTTTTTGTGGAGCAAAGGATACTGCTAGATCCAAGCATTTCTTCTATATCATACCTGCTGGATGTCACCATGGTCATCGTGCATGAGCTATGTCATCAGGTATTAAAGGTGTTCAGATATTTAGTATCCATCTCAGAAATCAAGCATTCCTTATCAAACTGAAAATGAATGTTTGCATTTTCACAAAGGCAGTTGCAACTTTCATTCTAACTGTAGTCAAATTAATTGGGAATCCTGTAAGACATATCATTACAATGAAAAAAAAAAGGGAAAAATCAAAATGAGACTGAAGGAAAATCAGCAGTGATGAACACTTGCCAGACTTCTGTATGTATATATATGAATATATTCTGTGTGTGTAGAGTAAGCACACTGATAACTGTAGAAAATGATTTATTGCAGAACTACAAGCAGATGAATGATGAGCTTCATATTTGTGTTAAAATTTTCTTTGGCTAAAATCAATTTGATAGTCCTGTTCATCTTCCATCACATACATGCATACTTCCTTTTTTTTTTTTTTTTTTAAAGACATGATATTTGCCTGCTGTTCGCTAGTGATGGATAATTGAGTGTACAGAAACTTTTCTATCAAAAAAAATCTTTATACTAAACCCCTAATCAGTTTATTTCACATATCTTCTGTTTTATCTCAAACTAAACACATCACGAATGTTTAGTAATACTGAATTGAATGCGAATGCAAATGTTATTGAAGAAATGTGCTACAGGGGCAGGAACCCCTCTTTCTTCTTTTTTTTTTTTTTTTTTTTTTCCCTGCTGGTAGCAGGCATAATCATAGCCTTCAGGTTAAAATGAATGAAATCCTGCTGTGTAATTGGCGTGGATTACATCTGTGACTTTACATAGGGTTCTTTAAGAAGCAATGCAAATTCTTAACACTTCCTGCAAATAAAAAGTATCATATAAAGGGCAGCCTTTGTAATGATAAATGGATAGCTGAATCTGGAAAAAATAGTATTTAGTTCAGATTCATGTTTCATATAAAATCTATAGATGAATATTAAGTCCTCAATGAAAGTAGGCCTTTTTTTGTTGAAAATTATTGCTGGTTTGTTCTCAGTACGATAATCCTATTTTATTATGTGCTCTTTATTGTACAGTAGAGTAGCATACTGTTCAGCTGGAAAAATCACAGTGCCTTAGGAATCAGATATGGAAAACCTACTTAAGGTCATCAAATCCCTGCTCCTGAAGTCCGGATTCCTGAAGTGTTAGATTCTTCCATTGCATTTTTCTCATTTCTCAATTGCATTGCATTAGTGCATTTTTCTCATGCTGTGTTCAGTGTTCCTAATTACAGGGTTTCCAGTGCTTCCCCTAGAACCCTTTCTATAGCTGATGAAATACCATGGTCAGTAACTTTTTTCCCTTGTGTTCAACTTAAGTCCCTCTTCATTTATTTATTTATTTATTTTCTGAAGTCATTCCATTACTTCCAGTTGTTCTTTGAACAGTTTTAATAATTTCTTCTCCTTCCAAAGCAATTTATACTTCAGATGTGGGCAATTACCACATCAATAACTTGCACAGTTTGTTTGCTTGATTGTCATTGAAACAGAGGCCTTTTAACATTGCTTTGGGAATGAAAGAGGATCTTGAAGTGGGTGAAAACTATATATGAAGTTATTTTAGGATCCTTGTGTGCTCATGGAGTACTTTTGAGTGGCTTTTGTACAAATGAGAAAGCTTACTTGGTGACCATATTGGTATTATTTGTGATGCTGTCTGCTTGAATATTTTACTCCTTTCATGTTGCTGCTGTTTCTATTTTAGTTCCATGCAGATCAATGCCTTGCTCGGCTACTTTTTTTGGCGTAAATAGACAAGACAGAAAAAAATCAGGTGGAAGAAGTAATTATTTATACTTTTCAGATGTAGGATTTAGTCATGGAGAATATGAACTGATCATCTACAGTTCTGAATGGCATATAGCAGTAGCTAGAAACTATAAGGTTAGCTGCAGGTGTATTGAACTGAGGCCTCTGAGTCCAGGTACTCTTGCCCCTGCTATTTAGTTGTTAATTCTTCTTGCATTTTTCATCCTCTTTCGCTGTGCAGAACCTCATCTGCCAACCTTTGCTTTCACATGAATATTCCTTCCCTTCACTCATTTGCACTTAAAATGACAGAGATTAACCAAAATCACTTCTGCAGAGCCAAAAGTAGAATCCCCATCTCTAGTGTTTAGATATTCATTTATTAATTTTATAAAATTTCAGGTAAGTGGAAATGGCATTCCCATAAAATGTGTTTTTTTTAAACTGTACCTTTCCAATCCCTTGCCTTGTTTCATCAGAGTTCTGAAGTTGATTTTAATCCCATAACTTTGAGGTTTACTGAACAAATCTTACTACAGTAGTAGATGTTTTTAGGCTAATGTAGCCTAAGTAGATAACTTAGGCTAATGTAGCAAACACTTTGCTAATGGTGTATTCAACAACATAAAAATGTGAAGAATGGAGATGGTTATCCTTAAGCAGTCACTGTTTAAAATCTGAGTTCACAAGTATGAGTGCTTTAGCGCTTGTGGTAGTGGTATGCAGTGTTAAGGCACAGATATGAATGAGAGACATCATTGCAGAAGGACATTCTCTAGTTGTCAAAAAATAAAGACAGATTTTTTAAGTCTGATTTTCCACATTTTGTAATGCTTGACCCAATTGTTACTTTAGATGTGTTTTAGGAATGGCATATTAAATTTACCTGTCTAGGTTTGGTTTTGTCGTCTTGCAGATTGTCAATGACTGGTATTTCAACTAGAAGATTTTTTAGAATATTTTGTGTATTTAATTAAAAAATTAATAAGTGGAGGAGTAAGGAATGTTTCAGCATAAAAACTTCCCCTTCAATACTAATATAGAAGCCCCAAAGCACGAATGAGATATTAGTCAGTGCATATATAAGTAGCAGCTTAAGTTGATAACTTAATAATACTATCAATAATTACCATAATTTATTAAAGTAATTATATTAAAGTAGTAACCCATTATATTTGAATATCACAGATCAGCCCCCTCCACAACATTTGAATAAAAAGTAATTTGGATGTAAGCACCATGATTTATTGTGATAGATGAACAACCTGAGTACAAGACTCAGTATGACAGAGTGAATTAAATGGGTATGAATGCAGAGGGAAAACTTCAAAATTCCTAAACCATTTTTTTTATAATCTGTAAGGAGGATATATAGAGAAGAGTATCCTTTCAGTGTGCCTAATACGAAAATAAGTGCTTTCTCACTATTAGGGTGATCATAATATCTATGGGAACAAGCAATTTATGTAATCACACATATTCCTCTTTTACTTGAAATGAAAAGATCGAACGATCTTCACTCAGTCCAAATAATGTCCATATTAAAATAGACAGTCAAACAAACAAAGTGTTATACCTAGTGTTGTCATTTCATATATTTATCACCTAGGAAGGTAACAGCACCTTTCTGTTTGGAAACTTGGCCTCAATAATTTTAACTTCTGTGACTCCTCTATCTCTGACAGTTGTCAGTATTCAAGAATAGTTAGTCAATTCCCAGCATTTTGTATTGGCTGTTTTAATACCTGTGCAAATATTTCTTCCTTTAGTTGAATAATTAAATGAGTACTTTTATCATTCCTAACTAAACGTGGAAAATTCCCAAGGGTAGTACTACTGCAGAGGAAATGCTGCCTGGAGACTTCATAAATTCTGAAAGCCTTAAAATAAATATTTTTGCTTTTCTGCTAAGAAGTCACAGCTATGTTCTTGCCTAAGTATATATTGCCTAAAATACACTTGCCTAAGTGTATTTTTATCTAACATAAATCACTGTTTTATTTTAATAGATAATTTTGTTAATGGCTTTGATTTGCAAAAGGATTTATTATGAATGTTATCTTTTATTTTTTAAACCTCTCTCTGAGTAGTGAGAGCCTAACGGATCTTACTGGTTTCATATTTGTTCAGCAGTCTTCTCGTGATTTAAGAAATAAACTCGGTGATGTTCTGCTTAATCTTTTTGTCATTACCGACCATTTAACTTATTCTAGTATATATGTTTACACCTCTCATAGCATACTACTGTTTTCAAGTTCACAAAAGTGCATAATGTATATAAATTCATTTTTAATTTTTACCAGTCTTTTCAGGTAAATGTTTTTTAGAATAGCATCTCTCTCTGTTGATCCTGTTGAATTTACTGATGGCATTCAAGTACATAATGATTACTGAATGTCCATCAAATTCAGTTTCACTTAGTATAAAAACATAGTGAACGTAGCTTTTGTTAGCCCTGTCTTTTCTCTAGAAATTCTTAAATTCATAGTCACCTTATAACATTTGGCTTCTTTTTTTCCCCCGCTCAAATCCTATATACCGCACATTGTGTAACAGCCTGATAATCAGAGTTTCTCTGCTGTGGTCTTTGGACCTCCTGTGTTCACCTCACTCAGGATCTTTAGTCATGACATTAATCTTTCTTTGGCACTCAACTCGCTCCAGAAGGATATGCATGGAGGAAAACAAAGCTTTCAAATAAGCAGTCATGAAAGCAAAATTGCAACCTGTTTACTGGCCGACTCGCTTTCATTCGCTCCCTCTGTGTTTACAGCAACAGCAGCATCTTCTGTACTCCTACATGAGTCTCCCCTTCTGCAATACTTGCTGCTCTTATTCTGTTTATTTTTATAGCTTACTACTCCATGAAAGCTCAACATTTTCTCACTTGATGATAAATTAATCTCTTTTGCAGTCATTTTAAGAAAAAAAAAAAAGAACTGGCAGAGGATTTTACTGAAATAGAATTTTGGTATTTGTTCAGGGAAAAAAAATGTGTTACCGCCTATGAAATATTGTTTCAAAATATTGTATGTGCATTTATTGCCACTTCTGTTAAAATAATCCAGATTGCCCAAGACCATTCCAATAGTTTAAAGAGTGGTCCATGAGCAGTGGAGTTGACGACGCCTGATTTCCTGTGTATTTTTGTCCTTTATTCCCTTTTGAGTGACAATCCCATCTCACAAAGTACAAGGGGGAATGGGACAATCTCCTGACAAAAAGTACAAGGGGGAATGGGACTGGCAGTCAGCTAGGATCCTTATGCATAAACATAGGTGGCTATTGGCATTTTAGGTACCCCATACCTCAAATTGCTGTTCTAGAAGTCTGCAGATTCCTGTATGTGCTGTGTTAAATTCCTCAGGCCTGTGTGGATTTCTCAGATGCCGTGGAACAATCTATGTGGCACCAACAATCTCCTTTGAGGCAGCTGAATCCTGCCTCTGGAGAAATGGCATGACAGCATAAAACAACTTTTTTTAGGAAAAAAAATGAAATGAATGGACTGTTGGGAGTACTGTAAATTTTCTGGGGCGGACCTTGTAGAAGAAAAACTAAAATTTAGGTCTGAGATATGGAGGCTGTGTTCCCAGTTTTACCAGTACTCCCATTTTGCACAGTGGTATTTCCAAGTGGTAACTCAGATTTCCTGAGTTAGAAGCCTGTTTTTCTTTATTTCCTCTGTTAGTCCCATAAATCTAGACGAACATCTACCTGAATTTCAAGTGGATGGTATAAAATATAGTTATTCTTAAAACTTATGAATAATATGTTCCATTTAAATGAGATGTGAGCATTTTTTCCTAAATGTCATTTATCTGAACCTTCTTTGCAGTGGTTTGGTGACCTTGTGACTCCAGTTTGGTGGGAGGATGTGTGGCTAAAAGAAGGTTTTGCTCACTATTTTGAATTTGTTGGGACAGACTACCTCTACCCAGGATGGAACATGGTAAGTTTATGTTCTTTTGTTAATTTGGAAACTCCTCAAAAAGGTCACTTGTGTGTTCTATACTACTGCTTCTGTCACAGACAGGGATTGCTGGAAAATATCAAATGATGCGTGCACGTATCAGATGTCAGGTAAAGCAAAATCACTAGGTGTGAAATAATTTGACAGCATTCCAAAAGTGTAATCTGCGATTTATTACAGAAGAAATAAGGTCATGTCTGTCATAACCTAGTGTTAAGATTACTAATGCCTCTCTGCTCAAAAACATTTTGGATTAAAGCAATTGTGATTTAACATGGATCATTTTTGAAAATGGCCAGATTTTTGAATTTAATCCATAAACACAACATAATTAGGAAAGAAGTATGTGAGTAAAATATACCATAAAACTGAATATTAAGGATGTTACAGAAAGGCTCCCAAGGCTTGTCCAGGAGTCTGACTATTACCCCCTGGTACTGTTTCACGTAGGCACTGATGATGCCATGGGGGAACTGAGGGAAATCAAGTGAGATTTCAGAGCCCTAGGGATGGCTGTCAAAGGTATGGGAGCCCAGGTAGCATTCTCCTCTATCCTACCAACGAGGGGAATGGATTCAAGGAGGAGAAGGCGGATATGGCAGATTAACAATTGGCTGCGCCATTGGCTTGGCAACAGGGTTTTGGCCTCTATGACCATGGGACTCTGTTTTATGACCACCAGCTAGTGGGGAATGATGGGAACTACCTCAGCAAGAGGGGCACACGTCTCTTTACCAAAAGGCTGGCCAACCTGGTTAGGGGGGCTTTAAACTAGATAAACTAGAAGGGGGAAGCGGAGTGTCACACAGACAGGGCGATCAGTACCATACAGCTAAAGTCAGATGGCTTCCAGAGGGAGTGTGGTAGTGGGGAAGTGAGGATAGGATATGATTATAGAGGGTCCTCTTTCACCCCTCCTGGGGAACCTGCAGGCTCTGTTACTTCCCTGAAATGCCTGCACACCAATGTGCGAAGCATGGGGAATAAGCAGGACGAACTGGAGATCTGTGTGCGGTCCCAGCGTCATGATCTCCTTGGAATCACAGAGACATGGTGGGATAGCTCGCACGACTGGAGCGCTGCCATGGAAGGCTATGTGCTTTTTAGGAAGGACAGGCTGGGAAGGCGAGGTGGTGGAGTTGCTGTTTAGGTGAGAGCAACTGGAATGCATTGAGCCCAACCTGGGAGTGGAGAATGAGCGAGTTGAGAGCTTGTGGGTAAGGGTTAAAGGGCAGGCTAATGTGGGGGACACTGTGGTGGGTGTCTGCTACAGGCCACCTGACCAGGATAAGGACGTCGTTGAGGCCTTCTGTAGGCAGCTGGATATTGCCTCATGGTCACAGGCCCTGGTTCTCATGGGGGACTTCAACCACCCTGACATCAACTGGAAGGACAACACAGCCAGGCACAAGCAGTCCTGGAGGTTCCTGCAGTGCGTTGCTGATAACTTTTTGACGCAGGTTGTGGAGGAGCCAATGAGGAGAGGTAGGCTACTGGACCCCCTGCTAACAAATAGAGGGGGACTTGTAGGAGATGTTAAGATGGGGGTAGCCTTGGCTGCAGTGGCCATGAGTTGGTGGAGTTCAGGATTCAACAAGGAGGTGGCAGGGCTGTAAGTAGCCTTGCAACCATGGACTTCAGGAGGGCCAACTTTAGCCTCTTCAGAGACCTCCTTGGAAGAATCCCATGGGTTAGAGCTCTAGAAGGAAGGGGGGCCCAAGAGAGCTGGTTAGTTTTCAAGCGGCACTTTCTCCACACCCAGCAACAGTGCATCCCTGTGTGTAAGAAGTCAGGCAGAGGGGGCAGGAGACCTGCGTGGATGAGCAAGGAGCTTGTGGCAATGCTCAAGCAGAAGGCGACGGTATACAGAATGTGGAAAAAAGGACAGGTCCCCTGGGAGAAATACAGAAACGTGGTCAGGGAATGCAAAGATGCGACAAGGAAAGCTAAGGTGCGTTTGAAACGCAATCTGGCAAGGGATGTTAAAAATAACAAGAAAAACCTCTTCAAATATATCAACAGCAAAAGGAAGATCAGGGAAAACGTGGACCCGCAGGTGAACAGGGTGGATTCCCTGGTTATGAATAACACAGAAAAAGCAGAGTTGCTGAATGCCTTCTTTGCTTCGGTGTTTACCAAGGCCAGCCCTTTAGAGTCCTAGGCCCTAGGGACAAGACAGTACGCCTGAAGAGAGGAGGACTTGCCCTGGGTAGAGGAAGAGGGGGTCAGAGAGCACCTAAGGAACCTCGATACCCACAAATCCATGGGCCCGGATGGGATGCACCCCAGAGTGCTGTGTGAGCTGGCAGAGGTCATAGCTAAGCCGCTGTCCATCGTCTTTGAAAGATCCTGGAGAATGGGGGAGGTGCCGGAGGACTGGAAGAAAGCCAATGTCACACCAGTCTTCAAAAAAGGCAAGAAGGAGGACCCAGGCAACTACAGGTCAGTGAACCTCAGCTCCATCCCCTGAAAAGTGATGGAACAGCTCA